CACACAATTCTCCACAACAACTGATTTTTTTTTGCTACCCCCGGCTACACCGCTTCTTCTTCTTCTTGTTTACTACTGGTGGTTGGCTTTGGTCGCAGTACCGCCACCTTCTGCTCTGGAGTGTAAACGCTTCGCCTATGAGAAAAAGGAGCAGCGCATGAACCGAACGAAACACACGCGAACGGAACCGAACGGTTCGGACGGTTTTCATAAACCGTTCGATCCCTACAAAGGAGGAAGGTGGCCAGAACCAGTACTGACTTAGGGTTGGGGGGGTTGAATACTTTGCTCTTCACACTTTTCAGATTCTTCTTTCTAGAAAGGATAAACTTCATGAATTATTTTTCAGAGTTTTGGTTGTCCCACTTTCTCAGCCCTTAGCTAGAACATTGAGGTTTGGTTTTGGACCGGGTCAAAGGTCTGAATACTTTTGTAAGGTTCTGTTTGTCATTTTATTTTTTAGTTCTTTCATAGCGGCAGCAAAATTTTCTCCGTAAGTTTGATAAAATTAGTCTGAAACCAGATCCGCTTTACAGAAACCAAAGCGAGGTTCTTACAGAACTGGGCCTCCAAGGGACGGCGTCTGCAGAGTCTGGCCGTTAGAACAGGAACCTTCTGTTCTCTCAGATAAGGTTAAAGAGGGGAGGGGCTTCCTTCAGTCAGAAATGAAACCTGCTCAGTATGGCAGAGGTGATTTTGACTGGAGGAGAGGTCCAGATGTCCACAGAGTCCGCTGTCAGGTTCTGTAACTCCTGAACTTGTTCCCCGAAACCTCCTCCTTCCTCAGGGGTTCTTGGTTAATTTCTCTGGTTCTGATCCGAAGCTGAACATGGTGCAGATGAACATGAGCTTCCAGGTCCTGCTAAGTCAGTGGTTCTTCCTCAGGCCGTGATGTCATTACCCCAACAGAACCGAACCGCTCCTGTTTCCCATGTTCTGCTCAGGTGGCTGTGGCGCCAGAGGATCCGTCTGCATCTGGAGGGAACCGGAATAAACCCGACCCCGGTGGACCTGCACGAGCAGCAGCTGAGCCTGGAGCAACACAACCAGGCTCACCGGATCACCACCATGGACCACCAGAACAGTACGGGTCCGTCGGGTCGCCTGCATGCCCCCCCCATCACCTCATTTACTTTAGATTCTCCTTCAAATAAACTGGTGATTAGTCATCGAGGTCATAGTCATTCCAAAAAAAGTAATAAAAAAAAAACAATCCACTGGACTTTATTACATTTCTCTTTCCATCCAGGAAGCTTTTTTAATTTAAAATGTCAGAAATAGCGTTGAGTTCAAGGTTTTACAGAGGCTTTCAGAGACATAGACGGGTATCGTGTATTTCAGGCTAACAAAGAAACAAAACAACCCTCATTCCAAAGTGGGGAACCCGTTCTCCCAGTTCAATTTGCATGTTTTCCAAGACTAAACAAGGCTTGTTATTGGTCCACTCTATAAAGCTTCAAACTCAACACTATTTCTGACATTTTGAATTTAAAAAAACTTCCTGGAAGGGAAGAGAAATGTCTTCAAACTTGGAAACATTGTCCAGTGGATTGTTTAAGTTTTGTGGAAATCTCCTTCAAAAAACTTTTAAATGATGAATGATTAAAATCAGATGGTTATCAGCAGTGAGTCACAGTGACCCACTTTGGGGAGTTCTGGCCTAGTGGTTCGGGCATAGAGCTTGGAATCCAGAGGTTCTGAGTTCAAGCCCCTCCCACCGACTGCCATTCCGGGACTCTGAGCATCTGCTCCCTGCGGCGCCACAAGATGGAATCTCACTGCTCCCCAAAGGGGAGGGGTAAAATGCAGAGGTGAATTTCTCCAGTGAGAGACCGATACAGTTCAGTTATTATTATATTTGATCCAGTTCTGAGGTCAGAGCAGAGAAAAGTCCCAAAAAAGGAAATAAGTCAGACAGAAAACAGGGTTTTAAGGGTTGGTTCTGGGTGGGAGTAATTCTCCATGTTTGGTTCCAGGAAGCGGAACCTTACAGCAGACCTACTCCAAGTCCAGCCTGCTTCCTGTCAGGAGCCTGAATGAAATCTTCATCGGGGAGTCTCTGTCGTCCAGGTAAGTCTCCCAGCATGCGGCATGCTCCACCGCCGGTGTGCGTGTGCGTGCTGAACCCGGCGTTAATCCTCTGCGCCTCGCACGGCTCCTCAGACTCACCCAGAACTCTCTGTCCACCACAGGGCGAAGTTAAAACCCTTCAAACCACATGTTAAACTCTTGCTCCATAGGGCCTCCTACTATGAGATCTCTGTGGACGACGGTCCATGGGAGAAACAGAAGAGCTCAGGACTCAGCATCTGTACCGGAACAGGGTCCAAAGCCTGGTAAGCAGGACGGGGTTTGACCTGAGGCTGCAGGGGTCCCAAACATCTCAGCCTCT